TGTGGAACGAACTGACTATTTTATGGAACGATCTGACTATTGAACGATGTCAGCGATCTGACCATGGAACGAAATGACAGGTTACCGTCATGCCCCTAGCAGACTACCAATGAACAAATTAAAAGCTTTGTTACAGAAAACACGGAAAGTGACACTTTTTGTATGGAAGAGTATTCGGAAAAATACACCATTGTCGTCTGAAATTCATTGTTACGTTAAAAGTAGAAAGGGTTTACACTTAAACAGGTACAGAAGTAACTGTAACAGTGTGAGGTTTTTAGTTAAGGGGCAACTTCAAAACTAGTTCGTAAACGAGGGAAGGTGTATCTGTCGTCCAAGCATCAGAGCGCAGGCGATTTAGGTGGAATGAAATATCCAGATAGGCTTCTAAGTAAGAATTTGCTCCTCTGTACATGTAATTATCCATTTTATACTGCTCAAAACAGTTTGAAACACCGGGTTAATTTTGGCCAATTTAAGCTTTGTGCTGATACAGAGAAGAATCCAGGACCTTCAATTTATGTAGATGCCGCAAAAACAATTAATGCTCCATACTGTCAAGGAAATGTTACAGGATTTGGAGGAAATGGTGGACAACGATGTGTCGCAATGAGTCTGTGCGCTTTAATTTACAGTAATATAATAACGATTACTTCAGTTGATGATATGACTCAAATAATGATTGTTGGTATTCAATTATATTCTTGTCTGTCACTGCTTGCAAGACAATGTATGTCAATGTTAACAGAATTGCCAGGAATGGTTACAGTGTTTGAGGAATTTTTCCACCTTGAATACAGTGACAGTTATACTTGTAACATCCATCTCTACTGTATATGCCACCCACAGGTTACAGCATTTGAAACACTCTTGGCACTGAACTACAACTCATTCATTTTAACGGTAGCAATTATTGGTGTTGGTATCTACAGCATTGAGGCTGGGGGATATAATGTATTTGATTCTCATGCTATGTATCATAACAGTCATAGTGAAGGGACATGTGTATTGTCGGAAATACCATCCATGCATAAATTAGTACTATTTTCAGACTCTACATAGGAATGAGGATATATATGAACTTAAAAGTGTACATATCGCCACCTTTGAACCTCGTCTTTTCTCAAGCAATGTTGAAAATTGTAGTATATCAAATGTTAATAGTTACCAATGTTCCTGTAAATAGTGCTGCCCTATAGCAGTTTATGCAATGTGTTACTCTGTTATTAATCCTTTTGGATACTGGACTTAAGGAACTTTATTTGCCCTTGTTAGTAACCGGAATACAATGTACAAAGTGATGGGTGTGAAAACACATCTGTCAGTATCAGTGGAGCTGAGATAAACCTTACTCTCTGGGCTGTAACCACTTATGTCCTATGTTGTAATTTGGCTCCAAGCATGTCTGCATTGAAGATGTGCATATTTTCAAACATTGTGTTGGGAAACATATAGCGCGTTACGCAACACAACGTGCCTTACCCTAAACATAGTAATGGAAACCTTGATCGCGTGTATTTTTAAAGAGATAAGGAATGTATTAAGTTGACAAGTTAATTGCTTTTGAATGTTACGTGCGTGATGTGATAAGAATATGACACATAGATATCTTATAACAAAATGCCAAGACTGTGTATAAGAAAAGAGAGTTGTTATGATTAGGCAGAATGAATTAATGAATGTACGGTGTAGTGAACGAGGATCTTTGCTGGGAATAAAGATATACAGTCCAAGTTCCGAGTGTTTGATTGAGTGTGTGGATATTCCCGAACACATTGTCGTGAAATTACACTATTTTTGTTAAGGATTGGGACATATTGTATAAGCTGTGTGGTTCAGCAAACAAGTGGAGTAAAGGATTTGTCTTCTCTGGTAAGAATTTTACTGCAATAAGACATGTTCAAGGTATCATACCCCTAGTACGACCACGCCCAAATATACGCTCACACAGCGTCTTGTTTCAAAGAAATAATAGACGCTTTGCATAATTCTGACTTCCGGTTTCCGGTTTGAATGAAAACGAGGCTTAAGATGTATAGTGTTTCAAGATGGCGGAAGGCAAGAAGAAACGAAGTCAAGGGAAAGAGTGCTCGTTTTTTGGTTGCTCCAATAGAATGTACGATGAAAATGGGAAAAAAACACGCTTTAGATTTTTTACATTTCCAAAGGATGAAATGCTTCGTAGAATTTGGGAAAACCGTGTGGCGAGAAAGTCGGGAAAAGACGGTTTCCGTATAACCAAGGCAACTGTGGTTTGCAACGTCCATTTTCGAACAGATGACATATTGCGTGTTCCAGGGGGAAGTCGGTTAGATTTAAGGAAAGGAGCAGTCCCACTGAAATGGAATGAAAGACCCAAGGAAAAAGAAAAAAAAAGAACCGCTCCACGACAACGAGAAACATCACTGAACGTAAACAAGTCACCGCCAAAAAGCTCGAACCAGGATCACTCAGTCAAAAAATTTTCAACGACGTCAGAGATAGTACAGGTGGGAAATGC